GCCAGAAGAAATCGACAAAGGACGGCCACTTTATGCCGAGCTCGTCGAGGATCGACTGACGGTCGATGCTGTTGAAGGCGTTCTTGCAATCCAAAGTCACCAAAACCCGTCTACCGGAATCATCGCGGCGTGTCTCCATGTAGGTCTGACAGGCCCTGAAAGTCTTCTCTCCGCCTGCCAACGTACCGACCGCAAACTGTAGAGGCGAGAAGTCCTCCTCAAAGGCAAGCTTGTTCTCCATACAAACTGCCTTCGTCACCCATCTCCAAAGCACATCACCCATAGCAATCGGCCGGACACCACCGTTGTCTTTCATCAGAGCGAAAAGGCGGGCGGCCGAAAGAGTTGTAGTGCAGCTGTCCGGCATGTTACCAGCGAGCATCCGGCTGACAAGGGAGGGCAGGGGGACGGTCTCGTCTTCTGCCGAGGCGTCACCCTCTCCCATGCAGGCACGAAGATGCTCATACCGCCATCCCGTGGGGCCGGCTGCGGAACCTCGCGGCGTCGTCTTGAGGGCAGCCAGTAGAACTCTGGGTGGGACCGTGAGAGGGACGGGCGGTCCATCCGGGCCGTTCTGGGGCTGCGGCTTTGTGGGAAGCGGAGCTGCAGGGTGTAGGTCCTTGAGCTGCTGGAGGGTCGCTGCCATCGCTGGAGCGACCTTGGCGGCCGTCAGCCGTCTTGCCGCATATGACAGCTCCCCTTGTTTCACAAACCTCTCTGCCGCTCGCAACTTGATCTCCTTTAGGGATGGCTCTGGTACACCCTCCACTGGTCCGTCGCCACGTGGAGCGCAAACGTGGCGACCCTGCTTAGCAAAATTTCTGGACTCGTCGAGTAATCCTTGCCATTCTCCAGCCCAAAAACGCTTGAAGCGAGAACCCCACTTGCGGTGGCCGCCCGTCTTGCCGCGATTCATCGGGAAGAGCAGCATAGTCGGCAAGAAAATAGCTGTCAAGCAGCCGACATCCGAATCCTCCTCGTCCTTCGCGTACTTCTCGGTGGTATCCACCACCATCTTTAGCGAGTGGCGGACACATCCAGGGATGCGTGATATGGTGCGAACGCCCAGCTTAAAGTGGTCATCCCGTTGCTCGGCAGTGAGAGTGCGAAGATAATCAAGCCCACGCTGCGGGAAAATTCCTCTCGAGCGAAACCAGTGGGAGACGTGGGGCGGATCAGGTGGTGGACCAGGGGGAGGGGGAGGTCCTCCTCCGTTTGGTGGCGGCCCATTGCCGCCCGAGTCACCATCTCCTGCCCCGCCATCTCCTGGGTCACCGGGTGACGGGCCGGGCGGCTGCGGGGGTACAAATCCACCCCTACCTCGAGCACCTCGGGCGCCTCGTGGAGCTCCACTTGCTCCTCTACCGCGACCCCTCCCCCGAGCTCGGCGCGTTGGCGGTACAGGCTGCGAAGCCCCTCCTTCACCGTCCCCGCCTCGACCTGTCATTTCTCGGGTATCCGGGGGCGTGTCTTGGGTGTCTGGAGGCGGAACGACTGTATCTCGGGTGATCGGAGGTGGTGGCGGTGGCGGTGGCGGGGGGGAAGGTGGAGGAGGCGGGGGTGGTGGTGGGGGTGGTGGGGACGACGGAGGAGGCGGTTGAGAGCCGCCCCCTGGGTTAGAACAGGGGGGCGGCGGGGGAAGGTCGGGCTCCGTTCGCTGTCGTCGCAACTCACGGGCCCGGCGGCCCCTCCCACTGGGTTGCCCCGCACCCCGCTGACGGAAGCATTGACCGCCACAGAAAGCCGTACATATCATACATCTGCCAAAACCTCTGTTTCTGGCTGAGCGCTGGCGGACATCTGTCGGCGGCTGAGAGGGAGGCGTAGGGGCGCGGGATCATCGAGCCAAGCCGAGAAGATGTCTCCCGGGTCGCGAAGCCCTTCTGGAGGATCTGAGTTCTCCGGGTCAAAGCCCTCGCGTGCTGCGATCTCTGCCGCATCAGAGGGTCGGTGTTGAGGATGCTCTCTTGTGTCATCCCAAGCATCGAGGATGTCGTCCAACTCTCGAAGGCCCTCGGCGGGTCACAGTTGTCCGGGTCGTAGCCCTCGCGCGATGTCATGTCAGCCAGAGCCCCAGGCCGATCGGGGGGAAGTGTGGGGCGATCGCTGCTATTCGGCCCCGCCGCCAAAGATGGATCTGCACCCGAGGATCCGCGGCGTTCGCGAGATATCAGCTCATCCAGAGTGAGTTGACCGCCGGCACCCGCCCTTCCCCTGCCCACTGTCAAATCGCGGTCCTCCGCCATATCCATCCGTCCACGTCCATCCATGGTGTCTCCCACTTCGTTCGTCCTATCGACTTCTTGGTCATCGCCCGTGGACGGGGCTGCATCACCATTGACCGAATCCATGTGGGTGTCCTGGTCATGTCGATTTTCCAGGCCACTGGACGCCACTTCCTCCTCCAAGTCCTCACATGTCGGTGCGGCCGCCCCCTCTTGCAAACGCCGGCGGGTGCGGCGTCGCCGTTGTCTATCGGTGCGACGCTGGCGTCGGATGGCCGAGCGAGGTGAGGTCCCTCGATTGGCGATGCCCGCCGGGGGAGAGGGAGGCGGTACGAGGCGGGTCGGTACATTGATGGCAGCGGGGGGACGTGTCTCCGATGGATTCCCGAGGCTGTCTGACGGGCCCGCAGCATGGCCATCATCTCTCGCGACTTCCATACAGGCGCACGGCCACGCGGCCCAGTCGCCTGCAACCTCCGCACCCGCTGCGGGTCACTCTCATCCAACGGTAGTAGGGACATGAAGTGGTTGCCAGCGTAGAAAATGAAGAGAATCGGTGGGGGGGGAGGGAAGGGCTCCAGGGCCGACCTGGGCCGCTGCACACGTCCGCCCTCGGGGTGAACTGTCTCATGCTCGCGAAGCAAGAGCGGGACGGTGGGGTCTTCGAACTGTTCCTCGGCAAGGACGCAGAGGACGATGGAGGCTGCCGTCACGTTGGCCAGAGAGCGAACGTCACACTCGGTAAGTGACGAATTCCGCCTGACGTCCAAGATGTGGTCGCGAGGTCTCGCGAAAAAGGCGTCCAATTGACCCGAAGCACGCCGCCGTTCAAGATCCCCTACCACTAGCCGGCGCAGTTCCGCTGGTCCGGGGATAGGGGTGGGAAGACGATCAGCCGGCCGTCCATTGAAGAGTCGAAGCCGCCCCAGACGCAGCTTGCGAATCGCTGCCTCGAGCAGGCAGTTGTTGTTGGCACCATTCTTGTTAACAAAACGGAATGTGATGCTGAAGCTGGCGGAATGAAGAAGGCCTCCCCGCTGTTGAAGTTGGGTGACAGGGGGAAGGCGAGGGGGGAAGACCATGCTGCGCAACGCAGCCGCTCGCATGGGGCTCTCGACGGCGATTGTCCCAAAGCAAGACGCGCCGTGTCCTCGGAGAGCTCACCGGTGCTCATCATGTCTCGGATCCGAGCGGCATTGTCGTCACGGGAGTAGCCGGTACCCAGCGGGCCAATCAGCAGGCCAAAGGTTCGCAGGAGGCACGTTATAGGTAGATGGAAGCGCTCCTCATAGAGGCGGCCCTCAGCAAATTATTCCCACGAGGAGGGAGGCCACCCCCACTCCCTCTCTAGCTCCAAGATGGCGGCATGCCAGGACTCCCCCGCGAAGGGACAATGAGCCTCATTCCGCGCCGTGCGAGAGTTGGCAGACTCCTCGGCCTCCACACACGGCCCACAAACGAGTGAATTGCAGGCTCGACACGGCAGATGGCGGAACTCCTGGTCAAGTGGCCGTGGAAGAGAGCAACCCGGGCATACATGGTCACCAGAGGAGGGGGGAGAAAGCCGGAGTGGGTCGGGAGCGAGGACGAGAGCCGACACGTCGGAGACACCAAGAAGGCACTCCGGACAAAAAGGGTCCCGGCAAGTTGGGCATTCGATGAGTGGTGGGGGAATTGCCGAAGGTGAGCCCGCCTGATGGAGGCTACACGCTCGCCCCTCAACATAGTCGGGAAGCCGAGCCCGCTGGGTTTCAGCGAGAGGGACAACGCAATAGATACAGCACCGATGAGACGCCCGGGCGGCCGCGGGAGGGTCCCGCGACGAGTCGCGCGGGAGAGAGGGCCAGTGGTCATGGAGACACACGATATCTCTCGCAGGGCGATCCTCCGCACAGAGCTGACACGTCTCGAAGGCAGAGTCCAAACTCATCACTTGGCCGAAGAGCAAGAAAAGTAGAGAGAGGGCAAGTCCGCAAGGTAACATACGAGGGGAAATCAACGCATTGACCGACACGACTCAAATGGAAGCTGTCACGCGAAGACCACCGACTCTGACCCCGTCAATGCTCGTCGACCACGTCTCGGTAACACCGGTCGAAACACACGAAGGGCCCGCGTCACGGCGACTCCGATACGGGTGGGCTCAATCGGAGCCTAGAGACATGCCCTGCCTGGGCCAGGCAGGGAGACAAACACGGGAGGATCCAGGCACACGGCCTGCAGCAACGGTCACTCCCTATTAGGCACACCGCCCACCTCGACACCGGCTCACGGCCGGAGAAGGCAACTCCTCAGGCCCACGGCCAAGCTGCACAGGCGCACGGCCTGTCGCAGAAAACTGTCCTCCAGCAACCACACTGACACCGGCACACGGCCGGCTGGGGTGTCCTTGGGACGCAAACAGGCTCACGGCCTGGCAGCAACGTCCTCAGGCACACGCGGCACGCTTGCACTGGCACACGGCCAGTCACGAGATCTTCAGATGGCCCCTAAACGCCGCACGGACCACCAGGTCTTTCGCGGGGTCGGTCAGGCGTAGATAGGGCGCGGAGAGCCGAAGCAGGCTCTCACGGAAGTGCTTTGCATTGGGCAAGAGGAGGCGCAGTGGCGCCGGGTGAACTTGGGTTCAGGGGAGACAAAAAAGATATCGCCAGGTCCGTCACGACGAGACGGACGCGGTGGCGCCCTCAGGTGAGGGCGGCGATGCCGATGAGCATGATTCTCTGATAACCACACAGCCCTGTGGGGTAGCATTCATAATCAGGTACTATTCATGTATGTGAAGAAGTGTCCCATATTCATCAGGTGGCAAGACGGCGCAGCTTGCCGAGAAGGACAAGTTTGACAAGTACGGTCCCACCGCCCAGGCGGCCGGTTCCGCTTTGTGCCGCTCGCTGCAGAGACATTTGGCAGATGGGGAGACAAGACGATGGACTTTCTCAAGATGCTCGCCAAGCGGAAGCCCCGCCCCACCTCCATTCCCGCTGACGAGGACGCAGCGTTCCGTGAGAGCATCATCAATCATTGGAGCCAGCTTCTGTCCGTCGAGTTGATGAAGCACAACGCGTTCCAAGTGGCGAGTCGTGCACAACGTGCTGCGGCCGCCAGAGGGCCACGGAGGGCCAGCGCGTTTCCGGAGGACTTCGTCAGCCGCGGGCTGTACAGGCCACACACCGGCCCCGCTCCGGGGCTGTGAGGTGGCTGGCTGGATCTGGATGTTGTGAGTGTGTATGTGGTACTGCATGTCTCACGTTTGTTTGCAGTGTGTGACATGCATTTGTTTGCAGTCAATGAGTGTTGTCCGTTGGCTATGCACGGTTGTGTTTCCTGTTGCTTGTCTGACACGGATGCTTAGACGAACTTCGTCGCCCGTTTTATGTGTCAACCAAGGGCACACCCCATAATCATCATCTTTTGCAAAATACTTCAACGCACACGTTGTCGCATCTCAACGAGAACGCTTTCACAGGTCTGCATTGGGACCATTTATTGAATTTGCTGAGCCCGCAATTGTATGGAAACCAAGAACTTTGGCCGTTTGGATGTCGAATTTACAATCAATTAAAGACTCAGACGCAGATGAGCTAGCAAGCTGTCCTGGGGATCACAAAAAGCTGGCAGTTAAGCGATAGTTGGATGGGGTGTGGGTTATGACGTCCCTGTGCGCTACGCATCAGAAAATCCCACTCGGCCTGCAGGGACGTCGTGAGAGCCGTGTGAGCTGCCTGTGGGTACTTGGCCGTTGCGTCCGCCATCCGTTGGACACACCTCTGCCACTCCTGCACTTTCTCAGTGGCGTAGGCCCTCTTGCCTTCTGCGGTCCCCACAAACCCGCCCATATATCGAGCACCACTTACGATCTCCACGTCAGTATCGCTAAACACTTCACGCGCCCTCTCCTCGCAGCCCGCTCGCACGACCAGCTCGCTCCATCCTATTTCTCACGTCATAGAGCTGCCATTTACAGGGTTGTAGTTCTACGGGCCGCTGATGCCCTCATCCAGCAGCACTCGCCCGTCGGCCGTCACCTGTGCCCTGACGGTCCGCTTGTGCTTCTTCTTGCGCAGCTGGTCGTCAGAGCAACGAAGCTCGTCGCGTCCTGCTCGTCGGCTGCTGCCTGCTTTCGCATCGCCAGCTCGTATCGCTCTTTCAGACCTGACGACACCAAACAACCATGATAAGCGAACAAGGGAGTTTCTTCATGTTTACCGGATGGCTGACCGACGGTGCGTGAGGGTGATGTATAGATTTCGAATGCGAACGCTTGTTGGCCGGTGGGTCGAGCTTGTCGTAGACGAAGTCGAGGGATGTGCCCGGGCATGGGTACCCCACCTGCACGGCCGCACACGTGCAGTGCTTCGCGTCGAGCGCTCTGCAGGCCACATGCACATACTGGATACAGATTAGGGCCTCTTGTGTGAGTGTCACCCACACATACCTGAGTATTTTGCTCATGCGTTGTGCGTTTCTCGGCGCCTCCTTCTGCTCGTATGCCCACGGCTGATACATGCCGAACGTCCATGAGTGGATTGTCACGAACGTCGTCGTCTGAGGTGGAAAGGGAGCAAATGATGTCTCTCCTAAGCCTGCCTCACTCTCACCTTGACTTCTTTGACGAGGTTGAGGAAGATAGCTGTCTCTGGCTCGGAGAAGGGCTTGGCACCGGGATTCGTGTCGAGGCCCAGGTTTGACTCAGGCTGACACATAAAGCGACAGGTGAGGTTGTATGGTCAGCCATTCTTTCCATCCTCTCTCATACCGTCCAGTGATCGTCCCAGTTGCGGTTCAAGTCGACTCCTACACACGTCAACCACAGACACACGGAGACACAGATCGGTGAATACGATATACGGTCGCAGCCTCACCGTGTTCGTTGACCCTCACGCAGTAGTCGCCGTTCTCGACTCGCCGGCGGGACTGAGGATTACCATTTACAACTATCGAAAACATCGTGCTCTCCAACACGTGCCCGACATGACACACACAGACACGCCGGCCGCCACGGATGTCCTTTGTCTGCAGGAGCCTTTACTTGGCCTCCTTGAGAAGCTTCTTCTCTTGGACGGCCGGCGATTGGCAGAGCGCCTCAATCATGTACAGTCCCGTCTCGGGAGAGATCAACCTAAGACAGGAAGCGACAAATGAGCGATTGATGTGATGTGTCTGCCTGCCATTGTGGTGGTCCGCTGGCTCATTCACTGGCTGACTCACTCTCTGGCATGTTCGCTGAAGAGCATGAAGACGCGATTGATCGGCTCGACGCCCTTCTTGCGAACGGTGACCACGTCAATCGACGCTGAACCGTTGCGGCGCTCAGACTGCATGAGCCAAAGCACAAACACGAACAAAGCACATTGATGCATGTTTGCCTGCCTCTTTCTCTCTTTGTCGGCCAGACAAAGACAAACCAATGTGAGGTCTGGGCATGATTGGCTCAGCTGCTTGAGCCGGTGGTGAATCTGGTCGGTCGTGTGGTGGAAGTCAAAGTCCTGCAGCAACACCGTCTTGGCGTCTGTGGCACTGCTGCCTGAGGCGGCCGCCACATAGAGGCAGAGGTAGAGGCAGAGGCAGATGAGCGACAGCCGCAGCAGACCACCCCTCATCTCAATCGACAGATGAGAAGAGAAGATTCCTCAGTCAACGGATAAGCTGGTTGAACTGCAATACACACAAACACATACGAATACACATACGTGTATGCGTGACATACATGTTTTGTCATTGCAAATGTCCCTCGAGAGCCTCCCCACCGGCGTAGGAGAGCCATCAGCCCATCGATTTGTCCTCAAACCACGGCGATGGCTTCTGCAAAGCGTTGGCGACACCTCTCACCCTCGCCCGCCCGATCCAGCGATGCAAATGGACCGAGATGCCCTCACACCCGATGTGTGGCGGTACTCGAGCGAGCTGGGCAGCTGCCGATGAGGATGGAACGGTCCGTTGTTGTGCTTTTGCGCTGGATGAAGGCGGGGGACAGCGGGAGGAACGATGGATGTGTGGGATCGTTGAATTCAGAGGATGAGCCGCAGGATGGCTCTCGCACGGTCATTGGTGAAGCCCCTGCAGCTGCCGGCCCTTATTGCCTGCATTTTGCGGCGAAAAATGCGCAAAGAGTAATCGGGTGCACGGAAATTTAAAGTCTGTCCTAAGGTTCCAACGTCTGCAGATCTGCCTCCCTGGGCTTTCACGCGAAGGCTTTCAGACGTGCCATTCGAAAGAGGCCAAGAGAAAGCCATTGCAGTGTATGGTTCACGAGTCCAGCACTAGCGTCGCGGTACATGTACAATAAAAATCCTCTACAGCTCTAGCCCACGCCTCCTGCACACAACAGTTTCTTACTTACACACATTCACCAATCACTCATGTGATGCCTGGCTACAGCGTGAGTGCCCTCTTGAAGAAAAATCCTATCAGACAGACAGACACACGCGTGTGCTGTGATTGATGTTCGTATGAGTGTGTCAGCATACCGACGGCGATCGCCGTGAGGATGCAGGACACCATGCAGAACACAAACACAGCATAAAACGCGGTGAAGCTGTCCTCAAGGCCACTCCTGCAACGACACACAGAGCCAGGACGGGCATAGAGAAACGCTTCAACCGTGTGCAGTGGGAAGATGCTGACCTGAGGTTCATCCCGAATAGGCCGCCGACACACGCCCCGAAACCCACAACGACGCCCACAGCATTCAGACGTGCAGAAATCCATCCAACACGCACACTCTTTCCATCTGCGTGTCTTGTGTCCGTTTGCTGTTGTACCCAGGTCAAGCTTGAGCACTCTATTACGCACGGTGGCTGATCGACCACACCACACAACACCACACAACATCATACACACACGCATGAATGGAGACGCGTCGATGTCGGTTGGTTAGCTTGCTCTCTGTCTCTTTCACTCACCCAGGTGGAGATTCATCAGCTGTAGCACGTCATCCAGCGTCTGCACAGTCGCCCACACATACACACACATACAAACGAACACCACACACATGCGATGGGCTGTGCGTCTGCACCCACCTCGTCGAGCAGGCTGATGTTGTGGTCGAGGAGCTCCGACTCCTGCATGTAGCACTTGAGCAACAGCTCCACGTCCTCGGTGCTGTACGACTCATCACCGGCCTCCTCATGCTCGTAGTTTTCGGGCGATACTGGCCCGGCAGCGTTCCCCCCCTCCTCAGACTGATGGTCCATCGGGCTGTCTGCCGTCCCTGCATTCGTCTGCTGCTCCTCAGCACCAACATGACGCGTGCCAAATTGACCACAGAAGGAAAAGGGAGACAGATGAATGTGTGTGAGTCTGGTGGGGGTGGTATGGCGTACATGTGGGCTGTCTGCGAGTGAGTGTGCGGAGCCGCGGAATGCCCCGGCGAATGTGGGTGGAAGGGTGGCCGCGCGGTGGTCGTGGCCCTTCCTGTGCACAGTGAGGAGGACGTGCTGCTGAGAGAACCGCCGCGTGGCGTCTGCTGAGGGGGTCTCGACCAATATCGACGATGTTGTTAGGAACGATGTGTTGACGCTGGATGAGTGGGTCTGCGTCATGTGTGCGCGGGCCAGGGAGGGGCAGACGGAGGGCAGGGAGGGGAAGGGAGGCGCTTCGGAACTGATGGATTAACAAGGGAGACACAGTCATGTGTTGGATAATGCCGGTGTGTCTCTCCGTGTCTGTGCTGACTGACCCTTTTCCGTCTTGCCTTGTGCGCTCGCCGATGGCGGAGATAGGGAGAGGAGGCACAGGAGGCGGAGAATCTCTTCTGCGAGAATCCTCTCCTGCAGCTTGCTTTGACGAGACAGCCTTTATGAGCGCCTTCAACCCTCTGACCTCGGCTTTCAGCTCCTCCTGAATCTTCCTACCTCCTTTTAGCTGATTCCCATGCCTCTCTTGCACAGTCTGGACCCCACCCAGCGCCTCTTTCACGCCATCCCCGCCCGGACTTCCTTGGCCTTCTTGATCATCGCTTCCTTCAGGCTCTCAGTGGCGTGTTTGTTCTCCGCCATGTGACAATCGGTGCGAGACAGATGTTCTTTGAAAGACTTGATGAGAGCGTCCATGGTGAAGTCCACCTTAAGCTCCAGCCGACAGAGACGCTCATCCACCTTTTCCTGCCATTCATCGTGGTGGCTGCATTCAACGTTTGGCGCCTGGGGCTTCGCATCAGATTGCATGGTGCTGCTGTACCGCGTCGCCAAGCCGGACAATAGGGGACAGGAAGCAGTGCCGCCCGCCGTGTCAGGTCCCGTCCACTTGAGTCAGATGGTGCTCGTCATGGGCCCACTTGGAATCATTGCAGATTAAGAGTTGTAGGCAAGAGCTCGCGAGCCAACGCCGTCACCAACTTGGAAAGCCGTGGGATCTTCGTTTTGATGACCTTCAGTAAGTTCTCTCCCCGTCTTGCATGCAGACTGGCCCCCATCGAGCCCCCACCCTGCTCCTCGGAGTCCCCAAAGACAAAGGCAAGAGGCACACCAGAAAGGTCCACTGACAGGTCTTGACAACGCTTCGTCTGTTGTGTGGTCAGATGATGGACAACCGGTTCACTCGCCCATCTACCCATCATGGCAGCGGTCCCCCGCCCTCGCCCAACGCCTTCAACGACTTCTTCCACCCCGTCACCACTTGCCAGCATGATGCTGTGCAGCGGTGCCTCGAGAGAGAGGATCCCACGCCCTACATGCAGGCTACTGATCAAGTCAATACAGGGAGGGGGATGCGTCAATCACGTTTGGTGAGGGAGAGATGCGTGGTTTGTGTGCCGCTGTGTCTGTCAGACGCTTAAGATGTGTCTGCACTTGGCTGCCAAGGCGGGGTCTGCAGATCTGGTGCACTTGTTCATCACCCTCGGGGCCGCCATCGAAGCCAGAGAGCCAATCGGGAGGACGCCGCTGCACTTGGTAGGGCTGAAGAGACACACGGACAAATAGACCGACCGACCGAGCGACCGACAGACAGGCACCCGACCGGCATTGTATCTGATAGGCGTGTGAGTATGGGCACAAGAAAGCTGTGGGGTGTCTGTTACACGCTGGGGCGAACCTGGAGGCCCGCGATGGGGTGGGTACGCGTGGACAAGAATACGCCACATGATGTGGCTCTTACGGCTTTGCGTCGTTGCAGCTTGGTCGCACGCCGTTTCATCTGGGTTGCTGTTCGGAGAATCGCAACGTCGTTTCCATTCTTCTGCACTCGAAGCCATCGCTCATCCATGCCACCGACAAGGTGACAAGACACGACAGACACAACGAGCAACGCCGCAGCTGCCTTTGCTGTGCCGTGCAGCATGAGCGCACCGGTCTGTACTACGCTGTGTTGAGCCGTCACTGGAGCGGGCAGGACATCACCAAGCTGCTGCTCGCCAAGGGAGCTGATGTCAACGCTCGCGACCTGTACGGCCGCACCCCTCTCCATTACGCATGCGAGGTATAGAAGGCGAGCAATGAGGGGCATTCAGTGACGCCTTCTCTTTTGCCCACAGGATGGTCAGTCGAACGTTGTCCCCCTGCTGTTGAGGAATGGAGCCGACCCGCACATTCAGGACACTGTCGGCCGCAAGAGCCCTCTGCAAATGGCCGCAACGCCACTCATAAGAGACCAAATCAAAAGTGAGCATCCGTGTATGAGAGAATGGATGTGCTACATGTCTCTATGAGTGCAGGTCATCTGGGGCAGAAGGGCGAGCTCCCGGTGGCCGAGTCCAGGGCCATTGAAGGCGCCGTGGACCAGGCCACCTCCCCTATGCAGCGTGGAACGATGCCCCAGCAGCCATACAGCCCTCCTGCGGAGGACAAAAGGGAGAGGGAGCAGCAGCTGGCCGTCGAGCCATCGCGACCAGGACCGAAAGAAGGTCAAATAGTGTTATCCACACACACAAAGGGAGCTGGGTGTTGTGCTGTGCGCTCAGGCCTGTCTGCGTTGTCTGTGTCGACGGGCCCTCTCCGCGAGCGGTTCATGCGTCTGATGCTGCATGTGCAGCAGGGCGGCCTTGACGACCTGCAGCACATCAAGCAGCCGCACCCGTTCACCGCCAGCTGGATGGAGGCCATACACACGCACCAACAGCTCTTCCAATCCATATCAAAGGCGTGTGGTGTGTGTTGCGTGAGACGCAACGCATACTGAAGAAGATGACGCGTGACATGTCTGTAGGTGTCGTCTGTCGAGACGGCACTCCGTGTGTTCAACCTTCTGCACCCACCAACGCACATCCCGCCATCAAAGGTGGGTGGGCCATGCACGTGCAGCCACACAGACAGGGAGCCTTTCGTCTCCCTCCTCCTTCATCTGCGTGTGTGCAGGGTGACGAGCACGAGATCGCAGCGTCTACACGCAGTTCGGCCCCCTGCCAACGGTCCCACTCGCACTCAAAGACGCAACGATCGATGAAAAAGGAGGTCCATATACCCAGCAGACAACAGACACATTTATGTATCCCCTGTGACATTTGCCTACCTGTCTGTTGTGTCTGCAGACGAGCGTTCCGTTTTTCTGCCGGTGACTGCGCGTGAGCGTCAGATGGTTGAGGAGATAGACCGGCTGCTCAAGGACAGGGACGCGCACAAGAAGACCATACACGACCTGCACCACACCATACAAGACATGAAGTGACACCCACCCACCGACAGACAGACGCACACACACACACACACGCCCTCGGTGTGTGGTTTCTCTTCTGTGTGTTGTTGATGCATCAGGTCTAAAGTGGAAGGATCGTTCGATGCGCGTGAGGTGGCTGCCGTAAAAGACGACACAGAGAGAATGCGACAGGAGCTCACCAAGAAAGAACTTGCCCTCAAAGTATCCCTCCCCAATCCAATACAGCAACCTGCCATCTCTCATGTCCTGTCTCTCTCTCCCATCAATCAGGACATAGAGCAGCAGCTGAGGGCGGCCGATCGCAGTCAGAGGTTCACGCAGGAGGAGCTGCAGCGCCACATGATGGAGGGAGGAGACCTCAGGACCAAAGTAAACCATCGCGCACAGCAGTAGCGGGAGATACGCAGCACCATCTCAGTGAGTGTGTGTGGTGATGCTGGCTATGCAGATGGCCATGATGGCGAAGCGGGCAGAGGGATACGCCAAACAAGAGGCACACCTCAAGGTGAAAAATCAACCGACCACATAAAAACGCCCAGAGCTACTGTCGTGTGCCTTATTGTGTGCTGTCCGCTCAGTTCCTTCGCCAGCAGCTGGAGAGTGTGCAGGAGGTGCTGAAGCAGGTGCAGCAGGAGAAGGTTGCCGCAGAAGGAGCTGCAAGTGAGAGAGGAAGCAAGACCCCACTCCACCCCTCACTTGGTCATCTGTCTGTCTGTGCAGTCGCTGCCCGTCGTGACCTGGCCACCGCCCTGCAGGACCTGGAATACTTCAAGAAACACGCTGGATAGATGTAGGCGTCATCCAACGGAATGAATGCCGTACGAATATTTTTTTGCTGTGTGTGCGCGTGTGTGTGTGTGTGCGTGCGCGTGTGTGCGTGTGTGCGTGTTCGCGTGTGTTGGCAGGGGCGGACCGACTGATGACAAGTACCGGTCGATGGAACAGCAGCTGGCGGCGTTGCGTAAGGAGAACGAGAGGCTGCAGAAGCAGCTGGCCATGATGCGACAGGCACTGCAGGAGGAGCAGACGAGAGTCGCGAACCTACAAAACACGGTGCGTAAGAAGGGGGGAACAGACAAAGTGAACTGTCTCGCCTTCTCCATTCATTCAGCTGCGTATGCGACAGACAGCTCCTCGCCACCCAGAACTGAAAGAGGTGAGCCTAGCATCCCCCTCTCTTTAATCATCACATTCGATCCCATTCCTCGGTCCCTCTTTCTGTGTGCCAGCCGCTTCCCCATGTGCCTCCCCCTGCAACTATCTCTGCCGGCCCGCCTCTATCTCCCCCAGTGCCGGTGCCCACAGTCCGCCCACCCAGCCGCAGGAGCTGGAGAGAGGAGGGTACCCCTCACCCACCGAGACCATCCCCGTATCGCCGCCACAGGCCATCCACCGCCTCCTGTGACGATGCTCGACCTCATTGGCACACTCAGTGTGACGTGCTGGTCGGCAATTGGTGTGCGTGCTGCTGACGAAGCACCCAGAGGAGGAGTGGCAACGTCTGACCCCTACTGCAAAGTGAGTGGGGCAGACACACGCGCCCGTACAAACCATGTCTCTCTCTTTTCTGTGTGTGTCAGGTGCTGATTCCCCTTTCCGAAAGGCGGCTTCCACACCTGGGTGACAGAGACCACCCTCAGGACCCTCCACCCTATCTGGAGGCAGACCAAGGACTTCCAGGTGCCCCTTTCCTCCCCGCACAACACCACCGACGCCCCGAGCGAAGTGCTCATCGAGCTGTGGGACAGCAACTGGGGCAAGGACGACAGACGTGCCATCGGCCATTACGATCTTGATGTGTCGGTCAAGTGGCTTGATTTCGTCGAAGAGAAACTGCTGGTGGCAGCATGTCTTGCCGCTCCTGAGTCGATCATCATCGACGTAGGTCTCACAGACACACCACTGACGTTGACCACCTCTTCCTCGCACTCAATGGCCGTGACGGTCCCCACCATCTCCAGGCCGCTTACTCTCTGCTCGCAGGTGTCGTCGGTCTGATCATATCCGTCGAGTTGATTCGTGTGGACGCGCCGATTGCGGTTGCTCGTGCCGTTCGTGCGCGTCGCATTCATAATGACATCTCCGTCCTTGTCGTGATGAACGATGGGCTGCTGCTGGCGTCCACCGTTGCCCTCTTGATGTCCTCCATTGCCAGTCGGGTAGGCGTGGAAAAGCGCCCGAGATGAGTTCCACTGCTTGCCGTTCCTTCTGTTGTTGTTGTGGTTGTTGCCGTAGGTCTGGCTGTGGCCATTTGGTTGGTGTCGCCAGTCGTAGCGGTTGTCACGATTGTCTCGGTAAGGCCGTTCGTTTTTCCTGTTGCCTCCTTGATACGTGTCAGGTCGATTGCCGTTGTGTGGCTGACCTGGCTGGCGTCCGTTCTGGTTGCCTTTCTGTCGAATGCGGTCACGCTGCTGGCTCATCCTTCTCGCGTGCTGCATGCGGTCGTTGGCATTGCGGAGGGCTTCTTGGAATTGCTCCCATGTGAGGTCGTTGAATCGGTAGTCCAACGAGCTCTTGAAGCGCTCAAATCGAGGAGGTAGGGCATTTACCATGACGGCTATCTTGGTGTTGTCAGTTGGTTTCTCTCCCATGTCGCTCAATTGTTTCGGCAAGAAGTTGGAGTCGGTGAGAGCGTCGTCGATGTCGTCCTTGTCCATCTGATACCGGGAGAAATTGCGGAGGACCTCATGCCCACAGACGACTCGCTCAGGTACACACCGCTTGCGCAACTCCCAATAGGCTCGTGCACCATTCTCGCCATACTTATCGAGTGACTCCTGGATGATCCGTCTTGCCTTGCCTTCTGTGTGCAGGACGAGGAAGCCGAAGAGCTGTCGCAACACACTCCTCTCCTTCATTCGCTGCTCGTCAAGGTCTCCATCCTCAGTCGGGACAGGTAACCCAGAAATGTCTTCCTCCTTTTTAGGCATCAGACGCTCTATGGGCAACTCCTTAGCCAGGAGGAAGGCTCTGAGGGTAAGTTCCCACTCACGCCAGTCGTCCTTGTCTCCATTGAAGGTACGGATGACGGTCCTGGGGTCGAATGCGAAGATGGGCTGCGCCATTGCTGCTGCTCTTCTTGCTACTCAGTCGACCGGTCGGGATCGTCACACTGGCTGCTGTTGAATAGGCGCTTGACACTGAAGAGGCCTTTCGGGGCTGATGACATCGAGAGAATGCGGACTGATAGATCGGTTAGGATCTATCAGCTGCCGACAGACAGACGATAGTGAGGCTGCTGCACAGAAAGACTGCCGAGAAGCGGATGATAGACAGACCTGTTAGGATCTGCCCAACTGTTGATCACGCGGAAAAGACAAAGCAATTTGCTGCGCCCATGTCAGAATAGGTGGGAGAGAGTCGGTGAAAATGGTGAAAAGAGGATCAGCCCGGCGGTCAGTCCCGGATAAAGTTCAAGTCAATGTGAGATGCCCTTGCCGCCCTTGTCCTCCAGACCAAGACGGAATGCCGCATTGGTGATCCTGGTCACCCGCTGCAGCTGCTCATCACCCACCATCTGGGCCTGCTGTTCGTTGGTCGTCGCGAATGTGGCCCCAGCGGCGCTTGAAGAGGCTGCTGAAGCATCCCGGTCTCACACGCTGCGCCTCTGGACCGGGATGCACCCTCACCCATGCCTATGCATGTGTGCCAAATTGAGGCTTTGACTGGACGGTCATCAGAAGGACCTTCATCATTATCATCATCCAAAGGGGGAATTCATCAGGTACGCACACGTACCTTGTTGCAGTCTGCATAGCATTATGCATTGTCCTGTGCGGACGTACCTACCCTTTCAACCAGATGCAATACGAGCCGGCTGGGATTCTTCACTGCGGGCTTATCATGGACGGGGCATACGTCATCCATTGCCATCGTGATAATCACACGACCCCCCTCACACACGAGTGCCTCATGAACTACATTGATGCGATGAAAGTGGAGTTTGGGGAGCAAGTAGGCAAGCGGATCGTGATTCACAAGAAGCATTCGCTCTTTGTCAATGCGAAGCCAGTGGCGTTGAGAACGCGTCGTGAGGAGATGACGACATTGCACGGGAAGATTGAGCGGAGCGGTATTCTCGTACAAGAGGTTGGAATTAAGTGGGAAAACGGCAGTAGAAGGGTACAGCAAGGAGCAGATGTGGCTATCGGGACGAGACTGCTGGAGACAGGGGCGAAGAAAAAAGTCGATGCCATAATTCTGTTTGCTGGAGACGGTACATACAAAAGACATACACCGGCAAGCAGCAGAGGCATACAGAGCCGCATGCACGCATATTCGTGTCAGGTGTTTTTCTTCCAGCACTGAAAAGGGTCAAGCAGACGACACGGAAATATGTCTTTGTTTGTGGATTCGGCAAGTCTGTCAGGTGAGGAAAGGAGCAAAAGCACGGACCGACAGGCGGCATGCACAGTATGCCTTTTGCCTTCGTCTTGCTGCAGCCCTAATTTGAGGCCCAACGGACGAGGGCTGGTGGACAAAATATGTATCATCGGCTGATACACGGTGCATTTCCCCTTGTCCTTCAGGTATAGTTCTTCCTTCCTACATGCACAAAACGTATCGAGCATAGATGTTGCCCTCCTGCTTCTTGCTTCATGCAGATATGAAGAGGATTCTTCGTGTGATGGCGAGTAGGATGATCATTGGCGAGTTACGTGCATCGTCATTTACTAGAGTTGAAGGCTGCTTGCATGGGTTCGGTCGCCTGCAACTTCGGTTTCTTGCTTATACCGTCGCTCAGGCACTCACTCTCTGTGTGTGTGTATATGTGTATATACGTGTTCTCACACTCGCATGCTCCAAAGTAATGTGACTGCAAGAATGATGCAAGTAATGTGAAGACAATTAACGATCAGCAGCCGTACGGCACATTCATCTGCTCAGGTTTTTCATGTGCTTTTTGTCGTTATTTGCCTTTCATCATGTTTGGGTCAGTCAGAGATCACTCTGTGTGCAAGAATGACTGGCCGAGGGTCAGTCAGAGATCACTCTGTGTGCAAGAATGACTGGCCGACACCTGTACATGTATAGACAACGTGCATGCATGTGCATACCTACCTACCTACCTTCACTCTCCACCCTGCGAATGCAATCACGCATATCGCTCTCGGCAATCATTGCCTTTCGTGCGTACACACAAATCTAAAGCATATATATAAACTCATACAATTCAACAATACCCAACAAAAGCCCTGAGGTTTGTCGTGTAATGTAAGGAAAATGAGTTTCACGTTCTTTCAGAAACTCACGTGAACTTCCTGTTTTCAAAGTCCCTAGGGTTGGAGTTCTCGCGAGAACGAAGTTGAAGCGAGAAGTCCCTTCGTTCTCGCGAGAACTCCGACACTAAGGACTACTGCGGCCAGTGTCGCCACACCTGAAAAAACACATTAGAGGATAGATTGGGTGACGAAAGCATCTCTCACCTGCGGTAGCCACAGCCGCATATGGGTAGCGCCTGTGGAGCAGCACATCCGAGTCCACACGGAAAAGATCCATCCAGAACAGGTTCTGAGAGGCATTCGCAGTGGAGTTGCCGATCACATGGCCTTCGCAGTATCCCGGATCGTATGCGCACTGCTGTGTGTTGCAGAGTGAGTCCCATTGCTGGTCGTCAATGCTGGCAGCAGGGCAACCTGCAAAATCACACGACAGCACGATGGCGTGTCCTCAGCTGTGGACCGCCGGACCATGAAGGCCCAATCAGTGCCATGGTCCTTTCCTGATCCTGTGGGCCCAAAACCCCCGAAAAACATGTGGGTTTTGCCCTTTGGTTCCTACTCTCGCGACTCAGCATGTTGTCCATTTGCGTCGTCGTTCTGATAGGCCTTACGGTTTGCGTGGGGGCCGCTTCAATGCCACGGAGAAGGAGCCTCAGGACAGAAGAGGTCGTCCAGGGACGATAGCTGAGGAAATTCAACAGCGCTATCAAAGGGGGAAATCCCCAGGCCCCCCAAGTCGGCTCCTCGGAGAGATCCGAGCTCAGCCTGCCCGAGCGCCCCCAAGCCACCGGACGAGGAGAAGGCTTGCCAATGGACCTACAACCGCCCCCCCTCCCGGGGCTTTTGCGACAACTTCGATGCCTGCAAGAAGGTGTGAGACGACACGGGTGCGGCATTCACCCCGTTCAAATGTGAGGTGGATGCCGACAAGGTGTCTGCGAAAGGCTCTCTCGAAGCATACAAAGCCGCAGAAGTGACTTAGTCTTATGAATTGTCTGCGTGTCTGGAGTGGGTGCATGCCTGTTGTGTGTGTCATGCACACACACGCATTTATGTCTCCCTGCCTGTCTGTCTACCACTTGCCTACTGGCTACGTCCTTACATACATAGAGACATACATACAGGCTCCTTTTTTCGCATGCATGGGCCGCATTCATCCTTCCTTGCCATCCATCCCTCCATCCCATCGTTGATCGACTCCACTCTCGAGTACAGATCTACTCTGAGATGTGTGCCACTCCTCCATCTACTCTGTCCCCCGTCCTTACATGTCTACTCGTGTCCATGAGTGGGGGCTTCCTATGGTGGATGAGTTTTGTCTCTGCTTGGGCGTGAGTGTCGCTGCGCCAGTTTTATGCTGGGCTCGAGCCACTATCCGCTAGCCACATTTTCTGACGAGTCTTCGAGACTCACGTGGCACTAGGTGTTTGTCTCTAACGTATTGCAGTTGCCCTTTTTTCTTGCAGTCATGGACATGCACTGTACGTTGCAATCCATCACAAGACACGGAACAGAAAAGAAAAGATCGTTGACACCCAAGAAACCGACTGGGTTGTCCACACCATGAAGATGAATCGATATAATCGACATTACGCATCTCTCAACTCATCGGGCAGTGGTTCTCTGTTAGCAAAAACTTGCCCTTCTCCCTGCATGCACACCAAAATAAAGAATGTGTGTACGGGTGATGCATAGGCACGTCACGTCGATCCATGGGCTCAGCTCACCTCAAGTACGTGATAACTCTGTCGAGGCCGCACTCGAGCTGATAGTCGCACCTTGAGCTGGAGCGGCTTCCAATTGTAGATAAACTGACCCACACAAAGGAACAGAGACACAGGTCATGTCGACGCATGGATGAAGCCAGCTGATCCATACTACCTTGACGACGTGGCCTGATGGATGGCTGGGGTCCCTCCAAAGCTCCAAAAACAAAGTCTGAGAGCATGCAGAGGCATGTTGGAACAATTGCCATTCTCTCGCAGCTTCGGCCCCTACCGATGCAAGCGGCGGCTGGCGGCCGTCAAAGCCCTCCAAATATCTGACAGAGACAGAGACACAGTCCCTTTCTCCCGCCGGCATTTCGCGTTGTGTGTCTCCAGACACCTCAGGAGATAGCTGGGGGAGCTGTCATGTGTGGCAAAGAGCATGAAACTGAGGCTGTTCCAGAACTTAGAGGCCTCGTCCAGACCCGGTGTCTGAAACGAATCAGAGAGAACAGAGACACGACAGCAGTCGATTCGTGTGGTCACTTGCTGACAAACCTTCTTGAGTCGCTTGGTTGCCCGCTGCTGTAGGTCAGGATCATATGGATTGGCCTTCGCCTCGAGCAGATCGGCCATAGTTGAGAAGAAATACTCGGCCGGAAAAGCAGAGAACATAGGATGGCCGTACACCTGAGACAAGAAGGGAGAGATTGAGAGCCGTGTCTTTCCCGACTTTCATTTCCGACCACGCTGTAGTGAAGGGCTTCGGCTATGCACGGCCACCTGACCAGGAGTTCCGCCATCTGCCGTGTCGAGCCTGCAATTCACTCGTTTGTGGGCCGTGTGTGGAGGCCGAGGAGTCTGCCCGCCGGAACTCTCGCACGGCGCGGAATGAGGCTCATTGTCCCTTCGCGGGGGAGCCCTGGCATGCCGCCATCTTGGAGCTAGAGAGGGAGTGGGGGTGGCCTCCCTCCTCGTGGGAAGGATTTGCTGAGGGCCGCCTCTATGAGGAGCGCTTCCATCTACCTATAACGTGCCTCCTGCGAACCTTTGGCCTGCTGATTGGCCCGCTGGGTACCGGCTACTCCCGTGACGACAATGCCGCTCGGATCCGAGACATGATGAACACCGGTGAGCTCTCCGAGGACACGGCGCGTCTTGCTTTGGCGACAATCGCCGTCGAGAGCCCCATGCGAGCGGCTGCGCTGCGCAGCATGGTCTTCCTTCCTCGCCTTCCCCCTGTCACCCAACTTCAACAGCGGGGAGGCCTTCTTCATTCCGCCAGCTTCAGCATCACATTCCGTTTTGTTAACGAGAATGGTGCCAACAACAACTGCCTGCTCGAGGCAGCGATTCGCAAGCTGCGTCTGGGGCGGCTTCGACTCTTCAATGGACGGTCGGCTGATCGTCTTCCCACCCCTATCCCCGGACCAGCAGAACTGCGCCGGCTAGTGGTAGGGGACCTTGAACGACGGCGTGCTTCGGGTCAATTGGACGCCTTCTTCGCGAGACCTCGCGACCACATCTTGGACGTCAGGCGGAATTCGTCACTTACCGAGTGTGACGTTCGCTCTCTGGCCAACGTGACGGCAGCCTCCATCGTTCTCTGCGTCCTTGCCGAGGAACAGTTCGAATACCCCACCGTCCCGCTCTTGCTTCGCGAGCATGAGACAATTCACCCCGAGGGCGGACGTGTGCAGCGGCCGAGGACGGCCCTGGAGCCCTTCCCTCCCCCCCCACCGATTCTCTTCATTTCCTACGCTGGCAACCACTTCATGTCCCTACTACCGTTGGATGAGAGTGATCCCGCAGCGGGTGCGGAGGTTGCAGGCGACTGGTGCCGATGTGTTGAGTGGCCGTGCGCCTGTATGGAAGTCGCGAGAGATGATAGCCATGCTGCGGGCCCGTCAGACGGCCTCGGGAATCCATCGGAGACACGTCCCCCTGCTGCCATCAATGGACCGACCCGCCTCGTACCGCCTCCCTCTCCCCCGGAGGGCATCGCCAATCCAGGGACCTCACCTCGCTCGGCCATCCGACGCCAGCGTCGCACCGATAGACAACGGCAATGCCGCACCCGCCGGCGTTTGCAAGAGGAGGCGGCCGTACCGACCCGTAAGGATTTGGAGGAGGAAGTGGCGTCCAGTGGCCTGGAAAATCGACACGACCAGGACACCCACATGGATTCGGTCAATGGCGATGCAGCCCCGTCCACGGGAGATGACCAAGAAGTCGATAGGACGAACGAAGTGGGAGACACCATGGATGGACGTGGATGGATGGATATGGCGGAGGACCGCGATTTGACAGTGGGCAGGGGAAGGGCAGATGCCAGCGGGCAACTCACTCTGGATGAGCTGATATCTCGCGAAGGCCGCGGATCCTCGGGTGCAGATCCATCTTTGGCGGCGGGGCCGAATAGCGGCGATCGCCCCACACTTCCCCCCGATCGGCCTGGGGCTCTGGCTGACATGACGTCGCGCGAGGGCTACGACCCGGACAACTGTGACCCGCCCGAGGGCCTTCGAGAGTTGGTCGACATCCTCGATGCTTGGGATGACACAAGAGAGCATCTTCAACACCGACCCTCTGATGCGGCAGAGATCGCAGCACGCGAGGGCTTTGACCCGGAGAACTCAGATCCTCCAGAAGGGCGTCGCGACCCGGGAGGCATCTTCTCGGCTTGGCTCGATGATCCCGCCGCCCCTACGCCTCCCTCTCAGCCGCCGGCAGATGTCCGCCGGCGCTCAGCCAGAAACAGAGGTTTTGGCAGATGTATGATATGTACGGCTTTCTGTGGCGGTCAATGCTTCCGTCAGCAGGGTGCGGGGCAACCCAGGGGGAGGGGCCGCCGGGCCCGTGAGTTGCGACGACAGCGGACGGAGCCCGACCTTCCCCCGCCGCCCCCCTGTTCTAACCAAGCGGGCGGCTCTCAACCGCCTCCTTCGTCGTCCCCACCACCCCCACCACCGCCCCCGCCTCCTCCACCTTCCCCCCCGCCACCGTCACCACCTTCGATCACCCGAGACACAGTCGTTCCGCCTCCAGACACCCGAGACACGCCCCCGGACACCCGAGAACGGTAGGTCGAGGCGGGGACGGTGAAGGAGGTGCTTCGCAGCCTGTACCGCCAACGCGCCGAGCTCGGGGGAGGGGTCGCGGTAGAGGAGCACGTGGAGCTCCACGAGGCGTCCGAGGTGCTCGAGGTAGGGGAGGATTTGTGCCCCCGCCGCCGCCCGGCCCGCCACCCGGTGACCCGGGAGATGGCGGGGCAGGAGATGGTGACTCGGGCGGCAATGGGCCGCCCCCAAACGGAGGAGGACCTCCCCCTCCCCCTGGTCCACAACCTGACCCGCCCCACGACTCCCACTGGTTTCGCTCGAAAGGAATTTTCCCGCAGCGTGGGGTTGACTATCTTCGCACTCTCACTGCCGAGCAACGGGATGACCACTTTAAGCTGGGCATTCGCACCATATCACGCATCCCTGGATGTGTCCGCCACTCGCTAAAGATGGTGTTGGATACCACCGAGAAGTATGTGAAGGACGAGGAGGATTCGGATGTCGGCTGCTTGACAGCTATTTTCTTGCCGACTATGCTGCTGTTCCCGATGAATCGTGGCGGGACGGGCGGCCACCGCAAGTGGGGTTCTCGCTTCAAGCGTTTTTTGCTGGAGAATGGCAAGGATTACTCGACGAGTCCAGAAATTTTGCTGAGCAGGGTCGCCACGTTTTCGCTCCACGTGGCGACGGACCAGTGGAAGGCGTGCCCGAGCCATCCCTAGAGGAGATCAAGCTGCGAGCGACAGAGAGGTTTGTGAAACAGGGGGAGCTGTCACGTGCGGCACGACGGCTGACGGCCGCCAAGGTCGCTCCAGCGACGGCGGCGACACTCCAGCAGCTCAAGGACCTACACCCTGCAGCTCCGCTCCCCACAAAGCCGCAGCCCCAGAACGGCCCGGATGGACCGCCCCTCCCTCTCACGGTCCCACCCAGAGTTCTACTGGC